GGATAGAAGATGAGCCATTGATTTCTATATAGAACATACGGATAGAGGATGAGCCATTGATTCCATATAGAACATACGAATAGAGGATGAGCCATTGATTCCATATAGAACATATGGATAGAAGATGAGCCATTGAATCCATATAGAACATATGGATAGAAGATGAGCCATTGATTCCATATAGAACATATGGATAGAAGATGAGCAACTGATTCCATATAGAACATATGAATAGCTGGCAGATGGGACAAATGACTTTTGCACTATCATATTACTCGGGAATGTGATGCTGTTCTTGCTTAAATTGATTTTGTCATTCATTATATATATCAAGGAATTGTTCATTAGTAAAGTATCCATTTTGTGTGCAAGGAAAAAAGGGGGCTGCATTATTATTCTAAAAACTTGTAAACTTTACTGCTACACATTTGGATAAATTAGAATGAAAATAGCTGGCTTTTCTGGTAAAGTCCACAATGGTTTAAAATAAGTAAATGGTGATATAAAAGGTTTGATTTCTTTCAAATATTAATGGAAAACTACAAGGGTACTAGCCATTAGTGATTTTGAATTAACAGACTAGAAGAAAGGCAGCTAGTGAACAGAACTAACCGTCAACTCGGGCTACTCTAATGTACAGTTAGATTTGATTACCATTATAAAAATGCATACATAGCCCAAAAGTATCACTCTTAGGCAACAGTGTGCAAACCATGAGCATTCAAAACCAGTCTGGCATGCTAACAACTAGCCCATGCTCGGCCTACTATAAGAGAAGTCACACAGCAGTACTGTGCAGCTAGAAGTGGCTTTAGATTGTAATTGTTACAAACATTTTTAGATGTTCCAGAGAAAGTTTCAAATTTTTCTGACATGTAAAAAAATAAGATGAGTGATCATATCACTCATCATTTTCATGTAACTAAACTGTACTTTGGTGACTGTCACTAAAAGAAGCTGTGAGGAAAAGGCCAACTGATAAAGCCTTTTAAAATTGCTATACTGGTCAAACAAACTGATTACTAACAAAAACCGTGTCACAGATATACAAAAGTATGTTAACAGTAATAAATTTACCATAAAACTTTTTAAACTAGACCAAAAAAGGAAGATCTTTAATTATGCAAATTAACTAATTAGTTATAGTAGTTACTGAGTTGTTCTTCAACTACGCAGTGTAATTACTAATTTTAGTAGGCAGTATCTGTTTCCACTTTCATATTTTTATATCACATCTTGGGATATAAAAAATACATAGTTTGAAACAAACTTTTTGAGCTACTGTTAAATGTTTGCCCATTACTTTAAAAGTAACTGGCAAAAGTGCCAGTTATAATGACAAAGGAAAAAAAAATGTTTTAAGAACAAGATTACTATTTATTGTCATCAAAGCTTGCATACTGTACTGACTCAGCTGGCACATTCCTTAAGAAATTGGTCCTTCCCTTTCCACTCTTAAAATTTTTATTTCAGTGAGGGTGAAAGTTTGGTCTGCACTCAATGACCAGACAACTACCATCTGTTGACTGAGCTTTTGGGTTATCACTTATTTTGTTCTTCAGTGATGGTCACTAGTAATTGTGCACAAGCTGCAGCACTAATCATTATTTGTTTGCTTCATGGTGCCAAAACCTTTCCACAGTATGTAGCAGATAAAAGGTAAATGTTGCAGAGGTGCACTACTTTCAGAATCTTCTTAAAGTCTTCTCTATTAATATCATCATAGCTTGTATGTTGTCACACAGACAATGGATGAAAATGGATGGCCAGTCTGCCTGATGTATGTTTTCACTTCCAACTATTCATATATATGTCAAATCTAGAATTCTGTAACATTGTGCTGAAATTAGCAGTGAGATGTTGAACTTGTTCTGTACCATAAAGAAAGATTCTGTCAGGTCTATAAGTTTGGTTAAACATATTTGTTATTGTAAAATTACTTCTAAAGCAGTGGTTTAGGGAATAATTGATGGCTAACAACAATATTTTTGTACCATCTGTTATATCTGCTTCAGTTTGGCAGAGTGTTGTTATTTCATTGAAACACAGACTGCCAATTTCTCCAAAAACAGCCTTATGCACAAACTTGTAAAAACAAATTTATATATACAACAATACCCCCACACTGTTGCCCTTTATTTTCCAGGTTCCTCTGTGTCCTCGGAAAAGTTCTCCATGTGCACAATCATGCTTGGCTAGTTATTCAAAACTTTGGAAAGAGAAACTTACTTGTGATGTACCCATTTTATTTCACTTGTTCTTCCATCCTTTCTGCTACCTTTTCTACTTCTCTAAGGTTCTTTGAAGAATTGTATTGTAGAACAGTTTGATGGACATTAACTACAAAGGGATGAGTACATTATACTAAAATGATTTTGAATATGCAATTCACCAAGCCACAGGCAAACCACAGCCAATATACACACATGGTGAAACACCATATATCATAACCACATTTTGACATCATTTGATGTTTTGTAGGTAGTGTGATGTCACTGAAAATTGATAGCTTTAAGGAAGATGATGTAACAGCCCATTCTAAGGCAAAATATTCATACACTCAGATAAAAAAGACGTGTTAAGAATGGGGATTTAGAACTTCCAAGATGGAGATGTCCTTTGTACCTAATGGCATTGGAAAACAAAAGAATATGAATTAACTTAGAGCACCAGAGTCGTCATATCCCAGCTGTGGTAAGTAAAGAGAGGCAACTTGTAACAGGTAAGAATCCACAAACGCAAAGGTCAATGTTAAAAGCCATCCACATGCCCCAGACAACATAAAAAAGTTTGATCTGTATGTATAAGTAATACAGATTGCTTCCCAGACATATTCATTCAACCACCACATATATGAAGTGGTTGAATAATGAAATAGTATCTATACTATTCCATACAAAGACACTGGTTGCCAGTTTTTACATATGGGCCTGATTCTTTACAGTAGGTGTCTGTAACTTGTTGGTGATAAATTTCAACAATAAACAAATAGTACACATTCCACTTGTTTTAAAATAATATATTAAACAAGTTAAACGTATAAACAAATGTTCATTACACTGTTGGTTACCACAGTTGTATCCATAACTTTAAATAATTGTCTCTTTTCTTCAAAATCTACACAGGCTGGTTCAGTTACTTTAGAACATAATTGAAAAGACAAATTATTCTTCTCTACTCTATTATTACAATACAATTTGTGGTAATTTCACTTTAAAAATCATCACTATATACTCTTTATGGCTAAACTCACAATAATCCAGTCTAGATCTATCTATCTTTCAAACTACAGTTTTGACGTGTATTTATTCCCCAAGTGAAGTCTAGAATTTTCCACATACTACTAGATATTATGATGCAACAATACTCAATTAAAACAATGAAAAAAACTCAGAAGGTTCTAGTAACATTACGCAATAACATAACAATCATCAATCTATAACTATTGAACTGCACCACATATGATTCGTAAAAGTTATGTAAACAAACCTACAATAAACAATCACTTCTAAAAATAACTAAGTTTAACAATCCCACTATATAACTATCTAAATCATAACTTAAAAGGAAACAGTTGTGCATACAACACTGGTCAAGTCATTGGATACTTATGGATTTCTGTGCAATTGGACTGTTGAAATGGCCACTGGAAAATTGTCCTATTCATCCACTAAATCAAATATGAAGTTTTCAAAGAGGAGTGGTGTTTTGGATGTAACAACTACACTGCTGGGCTATTGCCAAGAAACAGTTGTAAAATATTATGTGACTGGACATTGCAACATTGACTGTAACAACATGGTGAGGCTTCAAAATAATCTTAATAAAATACACTCCAACCTCTGTAATGCACTTGTATAGAATGTTTAATAATGTCCATCAGGGAGATGTTCCATATTATGGTCCACATAGTGTATTTGAATAAACAACATTGCACCTGCTGCTAGAAGTGTCCAATATCACATATAATGGAAAGCGTATCATTTTGGATTTAAAGACATCATGGAAGTGAAAGTGAGTTTGTTTGGGGTACTCCCATTTCCCTTCCACAGCAAAATGTTATCTTGAGCTCTGGATCCTCTGATCCCAGTTATGAAAAGGGATCATTCCACAAATTAATTGTAGAGAATCAACTTCCTGTTCTCGCAACTTTCCCAGATGACTTGAGGCAATTCATTCATTCATTAACCACACTAACTTCACAGTCTAGTCAAGTCAACCAATCATGAGTCAATAACTTTTACATCCCACTAATAAATCTTAACCAAGCTAATCAAAGTCTAAGCCACTAATTTAAAACCAATTTCATTCATGAAAAAATCAACCATAATTCTGCAAGCAGGGCAAAGAGAAACAGTAGTTTCTGAGCACCCCTGATTACCTTTCTGGCCTCTTCAAGGCCTGAAAGATTTACAATCCAAATTGCTGCCAAGAATTGGATTGGATTTAAATTCATTAGGGAAGGTCACTTCCAGTGCTTCTAGATTATCCTCACACTTGACTTTATGTTCACAATATGATGGTGAAAGTTTTTGTTTTTTTATTTACCAGCATTACACAGTTTTTCTCTGTTAGTTTTGTCCATGCTATTACCAAGGAAAAAAAAGTAGCAGGTAGTTGCTGTAATGATTTATCATACAGAGCACAAGGAATTTCAGTGATGAACAGCCTACATGTTTTTTTCATTACAATTCTGCCCACTGAGATGCTATTGTTTGCACAGTTCTATTAATTTTGGGAAGTCAGTAAATGGCCTTTTGCTGATGACTACATAACAGGCTGTCCAGAAGAAGTTTTATATTTTTATGTGTCAGTGTCCATCTTTTGCAGAACTTTTTCCATATCTACTGGCTCATTTATTTTTATAGCTTAGTTGCATGGTGAGTAGTAAGTGTACTTATGTGAGCATTAGATTTCATGTTCTATTTTACAGAGTCCTTTTAAAATTCTTGGTACCAACAGCATACTGTGTTGTTTTGTTGTGGTATTGTTGATATATCTGGTACCAAAGACAGCATCTAACTTTTCCGTCTATGTGCTATATAATAACCAAATAGTTTTCACTTTTTCTAGAAGCTGTTGCAGATGACAAGCAATCTCTAAAACTGAAATAACTGTAATATCTCATCTTTCAAAAAGCCATAACCATTAACATTATTGGGTGTTGTTACACACTATTCTGAAACCAGTATTTCTGGTCAATATCAATTTATATCTAATGGTTATAGTTTGTTTTCTACAAATAAGCTCTTGTATTTGTGTTGTTTGAATACACAAAACTTAAGAATACAAGAATGAATAGTTTGCCATTGCATGCCTAACATACTGTAGTCACTAACATAACATTTTAGATGTGTGTTCATGGTATATGTTGTGCTTACAGCCATTTTTTATAATTTTGATTATTTACAATATTAAAAGTCTTGCCTGAGTTACCAACTGTCGAAAAAAAAGGCCAATGCCTCTTGATGGTCAATGGCTAAACATTAGAGTGCACTGCAATTTTGCTAGCTAGCCACTGCTAATTTTGAGCCCTAGTATATTAGGTAGTCCTATAGAATCATAATAAATACATTTCTCCAGAATCAGGATATATATGTAAACACCTCAAAAACAATATTCCAGTTTTTTACTTCTGACAAAACTGAAAAAAAAAAAAGTGCTGTAAGTGAAGAATAAAGGATGTATAGGTGTTCCATTGGAACTAATCACTGGTTCATTTTTAAAGAAAAAAACACAACACAATCAAATTTGATACAATTATGGAGAACTTCAACCGAAAGAAAACATTTTCAAAATTCAATAAACACCACGAAAAGAATGAAAGAAGAGAGAAATTATAAAAAATGAGTATGTCACAAAATTACATCAAGGGCTTTGAAAGTGATAGAAAAACCTCCAAAACATGGGTTTACTAGGATAATCCATGATAAAAATGAATGGCAACAGGAAGTAATTCATCAGGCGAAAAATGGAAGGACAGTTGAAATGATTGGTTCATAAAACTTAACTTTATAACCATGAGAGAGAAGAAACAGGTGAACCCAACTAGGTCTTGAAACAATTGTACAAAAAAAACCAATGAAGTTTTACTCATTTTCTGGCTAGTTTCCTGTGAATAAGAAACAAACAAACACAAAAAACTGAAGGTGTACATGCTTTATGTATCATGTTTTATTTCTGAAGTGAACATACACTGAAAAAGGAAGAACAAGGAGTATAATAAAGCTAAAATATAGGTTTAGCTGCTAACACAAAGTATGGTTCACGGACAGACAATATGAGAGGTGAAGACTCCTCAAGTTTAAAATCGATGACGAGGAACCCTCTTTAAGACTAATAATGCAAGTTTATATACAACATGAAAAAAATCAGAATCTAAGTCAAATAGAAGGCAAAAACTGACAATTGATCATAAATATCATGTGCTAATGACTAACCAAAGGATAGAAAGTATAAAAGTTAACTACTTGTAAAAAACAACACACACACACACACACACACACAAAAAGTTAAATAAGTACATCCTGGAATGTGTACAGGTTAAAAGGCTGTCTAAGGGTACTCAAAAAGCATACCAAAGAAACTAAACAAAGCCAATCATAAGATAATTTCCAAATTAATTTACAAAAAGAATCATGACATACAGTATACATGAAAGAGCTAAAAGCATAGAAACAAGCAAAATTTAAAATGAAAAATCCATTAATCTGTTTTCTACAATCATCCAAATAAACATTCCACAAGATGAAGAGAAATGTAACAGATAAAAAGAGTTGACTTATATAAAAACAGATTATATGCAATGCCTGCCAGAGAACTTCACCTTTTGGTAAAACACACGATACTTGGGTTAGGAAAAAATACAAAGTGAAAGCTTAAAAACACAATTTTTCAAATGGATTAAAATACCTTCTTTTGAATAACATATCAACACTACTCTGTTAAAATGGAATCCACATAAAAAAATCATGAATAAAACCTAAGCAGAAAAGGAAGCCTAGTAAACCTGATTCTACTGTTATAGCAAAGGACAGATAAAGAAAAAGAGGTAAATAAATCAAATAAAGTGCCAAGAAAATATTGCTATATATATATATATAAATGGTTAATTGTGGAAATCAATAAAAAATAGCAGTAATCAGCTTTAAAATTTAAAGACAGGCTGCCTGAGTAAAATGATATATCAACTGAAGCATTTAAGAGGAAAAGGATTTGTAATGAATTAAAATGCAAGCAAACAGTAGGAAATGGAAAAAAGGCCTAATTTTAGTAAAAACAAGAGGAGTAGCAGTTGTAATACATCATGTTTGAAACATCAATTAAGTATTATAACAACCTCTTTCATAACAAACAATTAGTTGATTTATTCTGGTCTTGACAAATAACTAACATCTAAAAGTGTTTTAAAAGTATGACACAAAAGTGACCATCTGGACATAAAAATGTGTAACTAAATTAATATGTTTATAATATAAACTAATAAATTAGAGATAATAACTTTGAACTACAGCATACTAAGTTATGAAAGTAATCTTGAAACAAATAAATATAATCTACCTTTCCTCTTCCTGTCTTCAGCTGCACTACTGTCTTCCCCCATAATGAGTTTCTGTAGCTCTCTTCTTTCTGCCTCTTCTCGTTCATGTGACAGCTAGGGCAGAACAGAACATTGTAATTTAACCTTCTGCATGATAACTCTGTTTCCCTTTCCTTCCTGGCACATTTAAGATATGTCCCAAGAAGTGACATTTATTTTTTGCTTATAGCTGAAATAACTCAAAAATAACATAAAATTAATATTTAGCATTTATATGATTGTGATGTTAACTCATACTTCTTTATCTATTCTCTTTCCAATGATGGACAAACCAAAACATAACACACATTTTAATTTTCTGTGTTAAAAGCTTGAGTTTTGCCTAGCATACTGTCTACATCCTCTCATCACAGCAAACTGAAGGCATCTTATGTTTTATATGGACTAAAAAACCAGGTCAGAGACACCCACTATCAGACATAGCTGTTTTTAGATTAGAGCTTTTGAAATGAAAGGGGGGTAGTTATCCAATCAGTGATACTCACTGCTTATGCAGGTACGTTTAACTGAATATCAGGAATGGCTGCCACAGTTATAATTACAACTCATGGGTTGGACCATCTGATTTGTAGTCCATAAAAATAACCACAAGCAAAGCACACCTTGACAAGGTAGCACCTTCCTACCTCCTCCTTTCTAATAAACAGTTGAATAGTATCATACAGATGTAATTCAATTCACAGAATTTTATCCATTGCTTTCTACCTCTCATAGGTTACATAAAAAGTAAAGTTTTATAATTTTATACTTTATAAGTAACTTTTAGTTACTGAAACAGTTTATAACACAATGACTAAATGAGACTTCCTTCAGATGTTCTTCTGAAACAGTACATACTTTAATGTGTTCAGTATGACTGTTTCAAATCTTGTCTTACATCCACTCAAATACTACTAATACAGGATGTAGTTAAATGTTCAGTGCGACTGTTTTAAAACTTAAACCTTGTCTTACATCCTCTCCAATACTACTAATACAGAATATATTTATATGTTCAGTACAATTATTTTAAACCATGTCTCACATCCTCTCAAAAACTACTAATACAGAAAATAGTTATGTTCAGTACAATTATTTTAAACCTTGTCTTACATCCTTTCCAACACTACTAATACAGGATGTAGTTATATGTTCAGTGCAACTGTTTTAAACTGTGTCTTACATTCTCTCAAAAACTACTAATACAGAATATAGTTATATGTTTAGTACAGTTATTTTAAAAAGTGTTTCACACCCTCTCAAAAACTACTAATACAGAATGTAGTTATGTTTGGCATAATATATGCTACATAAACAAGTGTACTATTTTAATAGTTTAAATGGGCATAATAATCAAAACTGCCCCAACTATTAACATAAAACTCTTTTAAAGGTATTCAGTACAGCGTACCTTCTATTAGCCACATTCTGAACTATTTTGATCCATGTATCATAACTTGATTTAGTTCAATGTACAGAGGCTATTTATTTTATTTTTCACAAACAAGGTAAAACTTTAAAGGTTTCATACTTGTGATGATGTCTTCTTGTTAGACAGCATGTTCTCTATGTTTTTGCCCATTTCTTCAATGTCAGAATCATCATCTGTACTGGAAGCTTCATCACTGGACAGAACTTCGGTTGATGATAACACTCTGCACAAAGGATTTAAGTTAAATAATGTGATAGACTAATTAAAATCTTCTAAACTACAGAACTATAATTTTTCTGAAAATTGTGGTATTCTCAGGTGCATTTATTTCCTCAAAGAGTGTTACATCCACTTTATAACAGAAGGAAAGCAGGATAAATTACATTGTATGTCCAAGTTTAACTAAACTAACTAAATTTAGGCAAAGAAATATACTGACGGTATACCATGTGTTATACACAATCAAAGGAATCTTTTAACCATTTCGCATCAGATTTGTGTAATTTGCTAAAAACATATCGCAAATTTCACTTATAGAACAATAGATATGGTAACTCTGAGATTTCTTAACGTATCCTCCCAAAAACTGGTAAGAATGTGTTAAAGATCATAAGTATCTTGCACACAAAGAATGACAATATTTTCATTAAGTGCTTTTACTAAAAATATGTTATTTATCTATTTTAGTTACTTGCACTCAAACTCTTAACAAATCGAGTGCATGGTGATTTTTATTTTAAGTATAAAAATACTTTTTTGCATCTTACAGTTTTCATATTTCATTTGCATAACCTCTAGAACCTCCTAAATGAATATCAAAAGGTAAATGTATATATTTTCCTTTTCATTTTCTTTACTATATCACTAACTCATGCTATTATCATCGACATACAATGCAATGAAATGATTAAAATTAGGAAATAGAAAAAATACATACCTTTTAATTTTTGGTAGAATATCTTTCAAGATTTTTCTTTGGTTAAATTCATAATTTCAAGTTTTTTCCTTTTCACATATAGATAATTTTTATTGTTTTATTTTCCCTTCTTGTCCTTTACCACTTACAACACAAGTCAACGGTGTCCTTGAAGCATATTACAGTGTCTCTGGCAGACATGCGCAACCTTCAGCAAAATTTTCATGCACTACTTAATATTGTAAGCCTTGAGAACTGACACAAAGTATGATGTATATTTTAAAAAATGTTTAAACCTTTCAATGATGCATTTTAAAACATAATTAAAATATATTTAGGTAGGAAACAACCCGTAAGTGCTACAGTCGATCATGCAGGCCAACAATACTAGTCAGCTATATGTACTTCATGACGAAAACTGTACAACAATTTCAAAATAACCATTGGTAGATTAAGTGTGAAATGAGCTCTTTTTAATGACTATACACAAGTGTATGTAACATCTACATGTAGGCTGTAAAGCTCAAATAAATCTGTTGAAATTGTGGGTAGAACCAGTCAAGGTTTGACAAAATTTATTACTTGTTTCAACTGCATTCAAAAAGTTATGTAAGTACCTTATAATCTAGACATACATCTACACAACTGCCATTGTATTATTGAAGATACAGAGAGTGAAAGTAGAGAATTTTCATAGCTTGTTGGTTGCATGACAATACATCTGAAGTTTTAAGTACTTTTTTAAAAATTTCTTTTGAAATACGGGACTTAAAACTTAGATGCAAAGGTGTTTAAGTAAATTTTGAATGTAACACAGTAACTTGCATAGAAAAGAATTTAAAGGGGTACCCATTGCAAAAGGGTTAAATGAAAGGACCAACACACAGTCTGCATACTGCTTTTTTGCAAATGTTAAAGACAGGTCAAAAGGAAAACATCAGATAAAAAACCTCATAAAACAGCTAAAATGGGACAGAAAAAAATCAAATAAATACATTTCATCACTATTAACCTGGTATCATCAGGTACTTAGCACAACTAAACATGAAAATTAAATACACCAATTGGTGAAATCACAAGCCTAGCCTCGAGCTAACATAATCTCATGTTTTATTTATTATAGGTTTGTATACTTTTATTAAAATAGCTTCCTTTACTTTATGTTTGTTAATATCAGGTTCTCAAAACATTTTTTTAACAATTTTATTTTCACAACAATGTTTTATATTTTTAAAATGTTGGTAGATATGTGATGGAGCATGTCCATGTTCGCTATTCTAATAGTTAAATTCTTACCAGTTTCCCCTATATAGAAATTATTATAGTCTGTACATTCTACACTCTTAACTACTACTTTCTCAGTTAGTTTATACTTATGCTAAGCTCAAGGTTATGTTTTTGATGTCACAAATGGGTGTATTTAATTGTGCTAAGTACCTGATGATGTGGGATACCTCCAACATCTATATTTACCAGATTGAAAATACAAGATCAATATTTTTGACTTTGAAATATAGTCATCAGAAAAGATTAGTTTAAAAAGTTTAGAATTTGCATGAACGAATACTGAAAAACTGATAGATTTCTAAAGCCAAAAAAAAGTATAACATACCTATTTTGTAAATCAAATATCCTTTGGCATTCTTCTTTATATCTCTCTTGGTGTTCAGCGATACTAAAACGATTTCCTCGTGCAAATTTACTCATTGCTGTATGAGAAAACATTTATTTTAACATTTGGGAACTTAATCTACTAATTATAATCTTAAAACATGGTCCTATTACCAGGAACACAGTGGTATGTTAAAAACTGTGAAAGAAACCTTACAAAAATTATTTCTCATCTGACACTTAACTTTCATAACAACTATATCAACAGTATGTATCCTACTTTATCAAAAGAAACAACTACATGCTTTTTTCCTTTAATTCTCCATATACAGAATGATTAATCTATGCTCTTAGTACTTGTAGCATGTATTATACTTTACCAAGAGAAGCAATACTAAGTTTGTACGAAGTCTGTGACCGATCTCCATATCAGCAAGATACCAATCTGATCTTAAAGAATTCCCAGATGTTTTTCTGATTTGAGTTTTAAGAAGATCAGATCACAAAGTTTGTTTACCTATGAAAACAGGAAGTACATTCAGGCATCTTCATGATGGAGAAGCAAAAAGAAATATTGGTCACCATCAGTTTAGGTCATGTCCTGATATATATATTAACTGCTTCGTAATTTTTTTTTTACAAAAATAAATGTATTTTAAACATAGTTTTACTTGCCATAGAATATTTCTGGTATTTATAATACTCTTCCTGTTTTCATTAAGTGTGGTTTGTTTAAAGGTTTACAGTAAAATAAATGTAAGAGGAGAGTTCTTCAACTTCATCAAAAAAATACTTGTTTTGTATTCTAATGAAAATGTGTCTTTTTTTGTAGTCTGATAAGTATGTGATTTATTTGAAAATGAGTTTGAAGTTTGACACATGCTACTAGTATGTATATGTTATGGATGTCTGGACGTGCGGAACACACAAATGCAGATTCTCAAAATCCGATCCCGATATTGGGCGCATTGGCACTAATTCAATGTTTCAATCGGGTCTCAGGCTTAGTTTGTACCCTTTAGTTCTCTTACTAACAGAAATAATCTGATATATTCTTAGTGTATTCCACTATATAAGTTGTGCTACCTCTACACTTTATATGATATATATATATATATATATATATATATATATATAACATATGTGTATTTTCTTCAGTGTGCACTTTCTCGGTACAATATCATACATACATCTAATATTTCACCTACAGAGTGACATAAATAAAGCTACTGCATACTTTCACCTATAACATCATATATTAAATATTTGTAGCATGAGTTAATGATATCATTCTTTAAATAAACTTGTTAGCATATACCTCACCTTCTTCCCCAGCCTTAGCTTGCTCTGTAGAAAGAGTTCGAACAACATCTATAACCTCCCACCGAGAAAGTTTGCGTATCTGAAAATGTAACATTAAATTAGATGTAAAAAGAGTTATTTTCATATTATAATAAGCATAATAATAATAATACTTCCAGTAATGTACTGCTGAGCTATGTTTTGATTAATTGTATACCTCTTCTTCTGGAACTCCAAATTTCCTCAACAATTGCTTGGCATTACTCAGTGACAACCTTCTTAGATCAGCATCTGTTCCAGTTACAGTCTTTTTAGCTGGTGTCTGGCTGGACCCATCATCCTGTTAAAGTCAATGAAAACATAAGAATCCAGTATGGTGTCATTTAAATAATTGTTTTACTTTCAATTTTATCTTTCAAATTCAGCTTGGAAGTGTCATGTTATACATATTTGATAATAAGTGTACTCTCTTTTGTACTACTGTAAATATTCATTAATAAAAATAATTTAAAAACCTATCTATATATTCAGTTCAACTTTCTAGAAACACACTCTTTTGCTAATTATGTTGTCATAAAATCCTTAAGTACAAGAATAAAGTACTTTAGACATTTATCAGATATATAATAAGCTTTAATGATCTACATATAATCTAGTTCATAACCTGAGATGTTGAAGTCATGACTGAACTAATGCCAAACTGATGTTTAATCATACATTAATATAGCTTTGATTAAAGAAATGAAAAATTTACAACCTAAAGATATGTACCTTTGACTGCTGAGGTTTGTTTGGTACTCTAACATATGAAAATCCTTCACCACATCCTGTTGGATCTGCAACACCTGTAAGTTGTAGCAAACACTTCCCTTTCATAGCAGATATAAAGGCTCGGGTACTATTCCAAGGGGCAGCTTTCACCTAAAGCACAAGAGAACAAAACAGAATAAAGGCTTGGGTACTATTCCAAGGGGCAGCTTTCACCTAAAGCACAAGAGAACAAAACAGAATAAAGGCTTGGGTACTATTCCAAGGGGCAGCTTTCACCTAAAGCACAAGAGAACAAAACAGAATAAAGGCTTGGGTACTATTCCAAGGAGAGCAGCTTTCTCCTAAAGCACAAGAGAACAAAACAGAATAAAGGCTTGTTTAGTATTACAAGAAGCAGCTTTCACCTAAACCACACGAGAATGAAACAGAATAAAGGCTTGTTTAGTATTACAAGGAGCAGCTTTCACCTAAACCACACGAGAATGAAACAGAATAAAGGCTCAAGTAGTATTCCAAGAAACACCTTTCAAATAAAACACAAGAAAACGAAACAGAATAAAGGCTCGGGTAGGATTCCAAGGAGCAGCTTTCACTTAAACCACAAGCGACCTAAAACAGGATAAAGGCTCAGGTAGGATTCCAAGGAGCAGCTTTCACTTAAACCACAAGTGACCTAAAACAGGATAAAGGCTCAGGTAGGATTCCAAGGAGCAGCTTTCACTTAAACCACAAGCGACCTAAAACAGGATAAAGGCTCAGGTAGTAGAGCAGTAGACTGTGTGTTTAATTCTCTTATTAGCCAAAACTTGTGTGTGTGTGTTGTATTCATATACATATGTGTATACTTATTTATGAAAAACATTTATAAAACATTGGTTAAAATATATCAGCCACATGTAGCACATATTTCCAACAAACAAAGAAAATGCTACTGAAATATATTCCTTGCTTCATGATGTTGAATGGAAAGGCTTTGTTATTGGTGAAGCTAATTTCCTATCCAGCACATAGTAAGCTTGAGAAAGCCAACTTCAGTAATTACAAAGTAAAATACATAGTTATAATATTTTATTTTTTAGAGAAGTATGAAAATTCAGGACACTGCTAAACACAGAAAAACATATATTATCTGATGCTTAACTTATTTCAATGCTCTGACTTCCCTTTTAGTCACACAAGTATAGGTGGAAAAATTAATAAAGTTGACTATGCTCTCTAGTGTTAGGAAAGGAGTCGGTAGCCTGTGGATTCGTCAACATACCAGGCAACAGTATAGGTGATACCAGGGGCCTAAACATTTGCCCTAACCATGATGAGGTGGAGGGATCTAACAACCACTTCATGGTTAGGAAAGCGGTTAGCATCTTATGAAGTCGCCAACAAGGCAGAAAACAGTATATGTGATACCAAGGGAAGGTCCATATGCTGGTGGTGCACCATAAGATATGCTGTAATCATGATGGGGAAAAAACAAACTGGATTCTCAAAGGACACTAGGTAGCTTAAAAATGTCTTAAAATGAAATCTGTTCTTAAGACATGTTCATGTGAAACTAACAATTTTACATGAATGTGGTTCGACAAAATATTACAGGTTAAGAACAAGAGAGACAAAACATCTTATATAAATGAGCAAACCAAACTGTAAAAAACTGAATTTACACTCATTTCAGTTCTACATCTCATAAACTCAAATTACTGATTAATGCTGGTAAATAAAATTTAAATATTAAAAAAATCAAAATGTTGAAATGAGTGTAGAACTTTATAAATTTGTGCACGGCAGAACTTCATTTTCTGATAACAGCAACAATTAATTATAAAAACTAAATCTCTCTACCATGTGGCTTGCACTAGCTACTTGTGAAGTCATTAACCGGTTCCTTTTTCTTCAAACTCAGCAAAAAATAGCAGTTGTTTTTCCTCCGTCTACTATTTTGTAGTCATAAAATGTTCACTTGCTTTAAACTTAAAGTTTAAAATATTACTTCTAATGGAAAATCCCCCTATCTGAATATCAACCCTACCATGGAGCTGGAAGATTCAGTGAAAACTCCACTAATAATTCAGTTTGTTCATACAGAAGCTCCTCAACTCTAATGCTGAATATGTGGACTGCTGTCTTTCAATTATTTATTCCAGATAACTCCACCATCAGAGGAAAAAGAGAATGGTAAGTTGAGCAGCAGTTTGACTCTCATTTTCTACAAGGTGACTGGAGTTGTTCCAGATATAAGGAAGTATCTGGTTCTTTCCTCCAGATATCTTGGTGCTTCATCCTCCAAACCAAATCATCAATCTCATGAGAGAAAATCCTGAAGGACCAAAAGACAGCAGTAAATGTCCAAAAAACTCTGGACGAGTTAGAAAATATGAAAAAAAAACTTGGTCCAAGCAACAGATATTATATGGAAGATGTCCGAAAATGGCCATAGCTCCAATTCTGTTTTGATGATCACCACGAGTTAGCTCACAGGTATGATGGGATCAGCTACAGAGAGAATATGCATTGTGAATGCAGTTTTAACAGTTTGTCAGGGAGTTCCTTTTCTATCTTAACATAACAAAACCTGAAGGAGTAGGGACTTACTGCCGAAGTTTCATTGGGTTTTAACTTTTCCGTTATTTTTCTCAATAGCATGTCATCTTTACTTAATCATTAAATCAGGTAACTGTGTGCTGGTTTATTCTTCAATTATCATCCTGTTCCATTTCTTTAACTCTTATAAATAGGGTCAAATCTGTTTATTCCTGTACACTGTCCTTCACCACATTAACCTATCCCGTTTCATTTCCATAACTTTCAGACTTGGGACAAATCTGGTTATTTCTACACACCGTCCTTCACCACATTAACACATCCTGTGTAATTTGGTTTAACTGCATGAGAAAGACATTGAGACACTAGCTAAAGTCAAGAAGGTTATCATAACTGTTATGCCCTACTTATCGTTTCAAATGGCTGGATTACATTAGATTTTGTGTTCTAGCTGTGGAACCATCTGAATTACCTTACATTTCATATTCTAAGTGTTTAAAACAACTGGATTATTACACACTGTATACAAACGACTTATTACCTACATGTTTTTTCTAGTTACTGTTTCAGAAACGGTAGAGTACATATTAAGTCTTTCCTATTGTATTCAAATATCACAAACAGTAGGATTACTATAGAAGTGCCTGATGATCCACTTTACACAGCAATAAGAATAGGAGGAACAATCTCACAAGGAATTAGCTGCAAAATCTAACACAATGGGCAGGGTATTTGTAAGTGGAAGTAACCAGGCCTACAACGTTTATCAAAATTGGTGCTTAATTAACCATGGTTTCCTAGTTTACGTTTGAATGACCTATAGTTTCTAAGCCAAAAATCAATCTATATTTCATGCACATATGTAATAACTGATGACAGATTCCTTCAGACTAACCTTGTCCTTGGCATAAAAAACATAAAAAGGATCGATAAGTGAGACAATTCATGAAGGGCAAAGTTGCATTGAAAAGTCAAATCACATGCAAAACTGACAAGTGAGACCTGGGCTTTAGACTAAGTTGGGGGAAAATAAAGCATCAGTGTTTGTGTTTTAGACAAAGGTGATCAACAGTGGAACATGTTTTCACACTGCAACAACTATATAAAACAATGTGAGAATATGATATGAAAAGCCAATATATGTTTACTGATTTTAAGCAGGTATATAATAGTATGCATTGGAATAAGCTATACAATACTTTAAAGAGTTTTGGAATTGCTGCAAAGCTAATTAAATTAATTACATATCTGTATTAAGATAGTAACTCTAGTGTAAAAATGAGTAGAAGAGTTGTAAAAGAGTTTAGTGGTTGTATGTGAGTGAGACAGGTTGCCTTATGCTTTTTAATTTTGGAATGGGCAGCAAGGAACTGGCAAACAGATGGAGGAATAGTGCTAATTTACATAAATGATGTTGATTTGTTGGCTGAAAACATGAGAGAAATGCATGCATTTGGAATGTTCAGAAGAACTGAAGAAAAAAATTTGGATGGTTATATCTATGGGAAAAGCAGTTATGCATGCCAGTATAAGAAATGAGCTAGAATTTTAACCTGGAGTGGAAGAAATAGACAAGTGTAATATAGAATTGGTACAGTGTTTTACTCATTTAGATGTCAATTTTACTCAGAGTACCAACATCTTTCCTGTGAGAAAGTTAACGACTAGTTTGGATGAATTTGTAACAGCTCTTGTCGCATAGTTAGAAAGCCAAAAAAATTTTGAGAGGAAAGTGAATTTGTCTCATTTATTATGTTATTAGTCTATATTCTTTGGTGCATTATTTAATTAAATAAAAATTATTAAGTGTGTCACTATCTATAGTATAAAAAATTAGGGTTACCTCTCATCGAAACCTGACTGCAAGAAAAAAGAAGATTAGTTAGGTATTTTATTTTTTGTTTTTCATGTTTATTCTTTATGTATAATTATAAAATCAAATAAAATGTAAAAACAGGGATCCTTTTAGGTTTGTTAATAATAGATTAGGTAACATAAATAATAATAATATTATAATAAAAATGTTTAATGAGGCACACAAGCAAGCAGCTCATGGGTAATGTATTTCATTAGTGTAACGTGAGCTGCATGTTAACTAAATGATTAACAATTTATAATGGCATGGATAGTAGTTAGATATGGTTCAAAGGGCAATAAAACAATAACATTTAATTATAAATAGATGTATAATGTTACGAACTTAAAGCTACTTAGGATAAATGAATGCAGTTTCATGTTACAATATGAAGTCTTTCTACAAAGAAAAAAAAAGGGTAATTTAGGTTTATTTCGATTTCTTTTGCTGGTTATGAGGTTGGTCAAATTGACCAATCCTGTTTTGAGATAGGGGAGAGAAAGTAACAGTACAGTGATCTATGTATATTAGGAGTGGATGTAATCTGAAGGAAGAGAATATGATGGAAGGTAATAGCTGTAGCAGCCAAGGGTGTAAAAAGGCCAACTATGACAGATGAACGAGTGAGTGTTAGGTCATTAAGAGGATCGTCCCCATTTTGATATTTTGGGATTAAACTGTTGTAGTTGCATTTTTTTTTCTGTGTTAATAAATATATTCACAATATTTTCTCAAATATTCATAAGTAAACAAAAGATATGCATATGATTACCTCATCATCCATTTTCATTTGCATTTCTTCATCATTTTCATCTTCTGGTGCAAACAATGATTTTTCTCCATACCCTGCATCCTAACAGCACAAAAAAATGACAAATTATTAAGTTTACTTTCACTTTATTAATATATTTAGATGTATTTCATATATTTTTCACTGTAAAGTTTATGAAAATAAATTAGTATATTATGGTAAAAACTTGAAACACTTTGAATACCTTAATACACTTTGAATTCTAATACCTAAGAAAACTGGTTTTTAAATACACAAGCATCATTCCCAGTAATATTCAATCAAACCTTTGCTTACTTTTAATCTCTGTTCTGCAGCTAGCATACTATAATATGCACAACACTGTTCTGGAATAACCATGGCTCTTATCTCTTCTTCAGTAGGCAATCTAAAGTCAGGCTTCAATACCCACCAATTGGAATCCATTCCTAAGTTACAACATTTGAGAAATATAACATTAACTTTTTAAAGGATACTAATATATCAATTATTGTTCCACAATTTTTCAACTTATTATTCCACAGTATAAACTTTTGAAGCTGAACATCATTTACAAAAAACAACAATAATACAGATAAAAAGTATGCAAACAATGCAATATTTACATTAAAAACTAATATCAATAATACAAATAAGAAGACTACCATTATGTATTAAAGACAACTGTTTTACATAATAACATTAAACTTTGAAGTAGTAACAGTTACTGTTAGGTCAGAAGATAGGATCAACATCAGTTGCTGGTGTTTTTAAACATAATTATTAGCAGACTTTATCAGCTGTGCTTATATAAGATTTGGCTGAAGACCAAAATCCTCACTTATGAAGTTAGAACAATCCAAATGGCTTTTGTATGTAGTTTGGAGCTCAAAACCAGATGAAGTTAACAACTCTACCTTTACCAGTACATTCCAGGCTATAAACACTAAATAAACACAAGTCAGAACAAAATAATTCCAAACAGGCAACACTAATAACATTGGTACCATTTTCGGGTTTATTTAAACGTAGGTTTTTATCAAATACTGTGGATCTAGTATTATACAATAACAACCCTTCCTAACTATAAAAGGGGTTACTGTAGGTTGGCCAGTTCTCATAAGCAAATAGTGAAGTACATGCTTTCTCTAAATGACATCAAGTTAAAACTGAGAGTCATAAAATAATCTTTTTAGTAAATTAAATCTACAGAAAGAATTAGAATGTGTTAAGCACTTATTAATTTCAGTTGGTTATCAATAACTAGAAATGACTACATCAAATTAATTTATCTACCTGTTCTTTTGAAATCTGCACACAATTTCAGACGTTTACGTATACTACTTTCAGAATGAGAAGGAAAAGCTTTTTTAATATCTTCCATTTTGATACGTCGTGGACTGTCTTTGCTTTTCCAAAAAAGTCTATATATAAATACCTACAGATGAAATTAAAATTAACATAAAGATAAATTTTAAGACAATTATATAAACATTTGACATTGAAATACAACAAGCAATTATTTAAGTTAGCTGGTCAATAGACATGTAAGTTATATGCTTTATATGGGAAATTCTGGATAGTAGTTGTTGTTGTTGTAGTTATAAACAAAATACACATCAGAACATACTGAGTAATACATTAACATCAGTAATATTTTCAACATCACTGTCATTTTAACTCATTCTGAAAATTACTTCAGATATAACGTTTTCAAAAGATATTAAAATGTTGACATTTAGAACATAGGTTTAAAAAATCCAAAGCTTAATTATTCCACAATAAATAATTAAAATGAAAGAGCTGCCTTCTACATTTTCAGTAACTGGTTATTATATTCAAAAATAATGAATCACTGTTAATACTCCTCTAACAAAGAAAATATCAAACTTGGTTTATTTTCCTCTTTTGTTCCCCCATAGAAACATTTTTTAATGATACATACATAAATTATGAACCACTTTAGTAAAATCTTAGTAATTGTGTTACAAAAATAAAACATGAAATGTAGTTTCTACTTCGTTAGAGTTGAAGCAATAAATGCTTAAGTATATTATATAACAGTACACTTTACAAACCTGCAGAAAATCTCTTATAAAGTTGTTGGCTTTTTTTGAATTAGGTCCTGGTACTTCAAATAGTGGAAGCTCTTGTCCAACAGTGTAGATTGTCTCCACTTCACGAATATAGTAGCTATAAATTTAAATGAAAAAGTTTTATAGCAAATTCATTTCTGAACTACATATGGAAGTTTAGAGGAAAACGTGAGAAGAACATGTGTTCCACATAATAGCTGTAAATTTAAAGATAAGAATTTTTTATTTTTCATTCAAACTTTCAACAAACATCACTATCAAGAACCCCAAAACACTGTCTATCCTGACCTGCTATACCAAACATAGCTTTGAAACAGAAGTTTATAAGCATAATAAAACACTATAAACAATGTTTGATTCTATTTTAGAGAAACAGCAAAAAAGTGCCCTAAAGACAGTTACAGCTATGAAATATATCTTCCACTTTCTATTCTTTAGAATAGCAAATTACTGCTTCCCCTTTATTTGTATGGATGGTGTAAGGTGACTGTCTCAAAGGTTCTAACATCTCAGCTATCAAATTTGATGACAAGGAACCCACTTTGAGACTAATAATGCTTGGAGACAGATTGAATAGGTAATGAAGAAAACTTTAATATAAGTGTAACATAACAGCAAATGTACAACATTTCAACAAGGTTTTGTCATCATCAGGTACAAGTAGTACCAACCGTAATCACAATTCACACAACATTCAGCCTTGATAATGGATGCAGAACGCATTCGAAACGCGTCGGCCAACTCATCACTAGCTACAACTTTCACCCGTTGTTCTAACAACGTTAAGACGGCTTATCGACTTCTTGAGAAAAATTCTAAGAAGAAAGTAAACCTACAGACATCGGTCTTGTTTAACAAAATCTGCATATATATACAGTTTGGAACAAAGAAATCACATGACCAGATATTGTTGCATGACTTAGATGAGATATCTTGGCACCCTAGGGTGTTGGTTTAGAGTAGGGTTGTTTTGTTCAATTAAGATGAATTCCTTGATTTTTTTGCTTGTTTATGTTTGGTTCTTTGTTTAAAATTATTGTGTTTTTAATAGATATGCTATGGTTTTTTGAGTTGCAATGGTGAAAAACATGGGCCGTTTTTTTATTGTGTTCTGTGAATCTGGTTTCCAATTTTCTTCCTGTTTCTTCTGGGCAGTTATAGCATGTTTTTTTTTGTAAATGACATTGGTATTGTGTGATTCTAAACAATTTTTACACAATGAAGATTTTAATTTAGGGCCGGGTTTTTGAGAGAATTTGATGTTGACAGGAATTTTGTGTTTAATGGCTAGTTTTGTCCAAGTGTGAATTATTCTTGAGCTGGTTTCAGGGGCACAACGTAACCTGCAGTGTAATGTTCTGTTGTTGGATTTGTTAATGTCAATTTTATTCATGACTTGAGTTTTGTTATGGTGAATGTTGGAAAGTTTTTGAACAATAGCTGGTGGAAATTTGTTGGTGTGAATGAAGGAATGCTTTATGTGGTTGATTTCTTCATCTATGTAGTCCGTTGAGCAGTCTTGTGGCTGTGTTTATGAGGTCTGTCAGTATATTGATTTTTTGTGTGGTGTCATGAGCAGAATTCCAGAGGATTTTGAGGCCGGTGTGTGTGTGTTCTTATGGTGAATTTTGGTTTTAAACTGTGTGTCTGAACTAATAATGTTGAGTTTATGAGGTTAAGAAAAGATAACTGTTTATTGTTTTTGTGTTCTATGGTAAATTTAATGTTGGGATGAATGGAGTTTATGTGTTCAAAGAAAATTAGTGTGTGTTCTGTAGAAGTGAAACCAGAAAAAGTGTCATTGACATATCTGTACCAGTATAGTGGTGGGGATGAAGTGCAGAATGTATGGCTTGTGTTTCGATCTAAGTCATGAATATATTGGCAAGAACGGGTGAAACATGATTGCCCATACTTAAACCATCTATTTGAAGGAAATGTCTGTTGTTGAAAATAAAGTTGGTTTTAGTTGTTGTAAATTCTAAGAGAGAAGCAAAAAGAGTGGATTAACTTGTTGGGGTCATTAATGTAGAGGTCGAGTGCAATACTGCAGGCTTCATTAGAGGGGACTTCAGTGAAGAGTGATACGACATCAAAACTAGCCATTAAGGCTTTAGAATTTAGTTGGTCTAGTGTGTATTTGAAATTGAAGGCTTCTTTAAACAATGAACCTGCAGATGTTACATTTGGTGTGAGAGCCCAAGATTGTAGTTTAAGGAATCATATGTGTACAGTATAGGTCGTAGGGGGTAGTCCTGTTTGTGTACTTTAGGAATGCCATAGAGTTGTGGTGTGCATGAATCAGTTTTATGTAGATAAAAATAAAGATCGTCAGTAATTAAATTATCTTTTACTTCATTACCCATTCAAACCATCTCCAAGCATGATTAATCTCAGCTATCATTACTGCATTGGCCATTATTTGTACAGGTATAGTGGGTGGAAGGTCTGACCTATGATGTGTGTACTTACTTGTTGACTTTTACTCTTAACTTTACTGAAGAGTAAAAATTACAGTGCATTTTAGCATGTTATTAGCTTTATTGTTTTTCTGGACAGGAAGAAATAAGCTTTTGCACTGTTTCCATTCACTCCTTGAATCCATTTTTTTTTTCTATTCAGGTTATATGTCCCAATTTCTTGGTAGACATAGCAAACCATAAATATGTAAACTTTGTAGACATAGTGTGGAGTGGTATACAAGCTTCTACCTGCCTGAAGTAATCCCTTGCAATAATTCATAATGAAGAAGGTGATTGGTCTATTTTACTCTAGCACTGTGAGAGCATTCAATAAATATGCTGCATATATACTTGACCCTTTCAAATTTTAGATTGAGCCTTCAGTGAGAAAAGTCATGGCATGGCCAGGTGGTTAGGGCACTCGACTCGCAATCTGTGGGT